GTTTGGGCTGAGCCGGACCTAATATTTTTTAAAAAATTCGGGCGGGTCTGGTTGGGCTTTGAAATTTTATTTAATATATCTAAATTTATCAATTTTATGTTAAATTTTTAATGTAAAATAAAAATATTTGATTTTATTTATAGAAACTAGACGCCATATAACATATATCATTTATTTTGAGAAATTATAAAAATTAATTTCTCTATTAAAATAAATTCAGGCTGTACCGAGCCGGTAAATTAAAATTCGGGTTCGGGCCGGGCCAGCAAAACTTTTTAAAAAATATTTCGGGTTCAGGTCAGACCAGCAAAAATTTTTTAAAAAAATTTCGGGCCGGGCTGGGCTTGAAAAGTTAGGCCTGATGCAGATCACTAGTATTGGATGCTATTTATGAACCTTTACAAGCACCCTTTTAACAAGATAATGAAAGAATCCGATAATCTTATTATATACTATGAAGCAAATTGGATTGGTAAATTTTTTCGTAATGGAAATCGACAGCATCAAGGCTTCCAATTCCCATTTGGAATCAATAGCTGCTTCATTGGAGGGAATCCCAAAAACAGATAATGCAGTTGGTGTTTTTTTTCAAAAATTTGCTATCTTTTGATCATTATTACACAATCATTTTTATAATTTACTTTGTAATTATTTTTAAAGGTTGGCACAGAGCATTCTCATCTCTGCTATCATCGCACCATCCCTCTATTTGGAAATTTTTAGATGCTCTACGCTTGGAATAATGGTTAACCGAAGCAAAAATTGAACAATATATTTATGGTAGGCAACCCCCGGATCAAGAAAGGTGTAACGGAATACATCTGAAAATATTATATAAATTTCTGAATATGTTAATCGCCTGATTAATTATTATAGGGGGATCGCATATAATTTTAATTTACAAATATATTAATGTTTTTTTTAAATGTTTTTATAAACATATTTTTTGCAGGGATGTGAATTCGAACCCGGGTCTTATCCTGAACCTTCGTATTTTGGCTGTACCCGAACCCGGACCTGGACTCTTTTTTTGTCGAAGGGTTAACATCTCTGATGTTTTGAATGTTTTATATAGTATATTTATATTTTTTATAGTTATTTTATAAATAAATAAAAAAGTGCGTTAATTCGTTTTTGATTATTTTTTTTATTTTATTTTTTTTAACTTAAAGGTATTTTATTTAACAATTTCAAAATATATAAAATGATAAAACACTTATTAAAATGATAATATTAAACAAGTAAAATTATGTTTAAAAATTTCTAGTTAAAGTTTTTGTTTAAGAAATAGGGATTGGAGATTTTCGTTTATTATATAAAAAAATTTTCGCGATAAAATTAAAAAAAAAAAATATGTAGACTAGGAAAAATTGCCGTTAGTTGATATGACTATTTGCTGAAATATAAAATTATTGAATTTTGAATATTTATTTTTATAATAGAAAAAGTTAACCTAAACATAATATATATTCTAAAATGATTAATTGAATTATTTTAAGGATTTTCAATAAATCTAAAAAATGAGTCAGTCTTAATTTGAATTTTTTTGGATCAACATTAATTGTTCAACAGCCGATTTGGGTCTATTTTTAAAAATTGTCGATTAAGATTTTAGCCAAAATAATGTGTATACCTTATAATGTGGTAAATTGGTACACCAAAGAAATTGGTATAAATATTGGTTGTTAATTTTTTTTTTGATTTTATTAAATTTTTTATTGATATTACACTTAATAAATAAAATTGAGATTTTTGTAAAAAAATATAAAGAAATAATTAATAGGACTAACATTCAAAATGACTTCTATTTAATCATCCGTTTTTTATACTGATAAATTTATAATAAATTGCAGCTGTATTAGATACGCGCCGAATTGGCACGGCGCTGAATTGACCCTGTGCTGAATTGACGTTGCGCCAAATTTTCCGCGCCGAATTGACGTGATATCTGTTTTTATAAGTTCAATTAGTATGATTTTATATGTGCAATTATTAAAATAAAATATGAGATTATCATTTTATGAGGCTTTTTTTAAATAAAAATATAATAACTGTAATATTGTGTTTAACCCATCGTTTTAGATATTTTTGTTCAAAAATATAGTGAAATAAAACACATGTATATTATAAATAAGCCATTAATGGGATCCCGACCGAATGCTGAGTAAAAGCGGGACGAAGGCTTACAAATGGGTTTATGGGGGTGAACCCATAAAATGAGGCCGCTAGAAAACATTTGCCCGCGCGGTTGCAGCATAGCCAGTCCATCCCTGATTTGAATCGCTTTTGTAGGTCCAATCAAAACAATAAATGATCCAAAATAACTTACAATAAAATTTCCAGGGTGGCTTATCTTCTACATTATATAGTGACCCCTTCAATATAAATTCTTTTTATAGTTCTCAAAATTAAATCTAACGAAATCTGTTTAATGTCATCTTGGTTATCTGATTACCTTATCTGAATTTTACCGTTTATATTTATTAAAAACTTTCAAAAAACATAAATTATTAGCTAACAAAATTTAATTCGTTTGTTAAATAATATTGATGATGTTAGTCATAAAAAACAAAAAAAATTTTTTTTTGAAATAAACCAAAAAACATAATGTTTATTATTTAAATGCCTAAACAAATTATCTATATGAATCGGTTTTATCAAATTAAATTATAATGTTTAAAATGTGACCATGGAAGTTTTATGTTCAAAGATTGCACTAGTTTTATTTATGATATATATTAAAACATTGTAAAAAAACGATTAGCTATGAAAATTAAGTATTCAATTTTAAAAAGGCTTCCTAATTGATAGAATTTACCTTAATGGAAAGTTACTTTATCAAAGGCAATTTAGTATTTTTGACCTAATCCATTATAATTTAGATAGTTAATAAAATATAAAACTATTAGGGCAATAACGCGAATTCTAAAAATTTTATGACTTAAAAAGATTTAATCTGGCGTTTAGGTCATTTCTTAACTCAACAATAAATTCTCATATTTTCCCATTTATGTAATTTTATTATTAAAAAAGTATTACACCTCAGTGTTTTATTAATTCTTATGGTGAACATCATGAATAAAGTTTTATTTTGTTAGAACTTCAACTAATCTTGAATTTCCTATTATCCTCTTTCCTTTTAATTGTGAATATAATTGGTTCAGGGCCCATATGCGATTCTGGAACTAACAAATTATAAATGCATTTGTACCATAACCTACTCAGATTTATAAAAAATATATTTCAAATATCTATAAAAATTATCCAACAGTATTGTTAACAATAAATCTCCTTTTGCTTAACGTTTTGTCCAAGGAATTCAGTTTTATTAAACGGCTCGATTTAGTCAATTTAAAATTAAGATTTTATCCAAAATAATATTAAGCTCAAATTTTGCTAAGAGATATCTAAACCTATCTACCATCTAAGAACAACATATCCAGGTTTGCACAATATTTTTTGGGTAAAATCTTGGTTAGACGTTTTCAGTAACTTATATGACGAATATAAGAAGAGAGATATTTATATATATAATCTCCGTAATGTCATGTCTGGCCAAAATGGCCCCCTTTAGAAAATTATCACTTTTTGTGAATATCATTTTAAGCTAATAAAAAATATCCCCCTTAGTCCTATCCCAATCCCTGACCCCCAAAAATGAATGCATATATCTTAAACAATAATTTGAAAGAAAGAATGTAAAAGTTGATATTTTTTTATAAAACTAATATGTCGTAGATTTACAGTATATCTAATTTTATCAATTATCATATGACAATCAGGTAATTTTTACCAATATAGCGAATTATATATTTTACAGAAAACTATAAAATATTGATAAGGATATCAGAAAATATCTTTTAAAGACATTGTGGGATGAATAATATGAAGATTAATTTTTAATATCATATTTTATTTAAAATAAATAGATGGCGTTAAATAATTGAATGCTAATTGTTGCTATATTTATTAAGAGCATTGATTAGTAAAATTTGTTAAAATATTAATTGTAATATATTATCTAACTGTCAAATATGTCTGTAAAAGTGGAATTTTACCTAGTATTTTGGACCTAATTCTATATAATAGAGGAATATCAAATATATATCTATTTACTTTTTATAAATAAATTTCTTATACTTGTTTGGAATAAATTATTACAATGCTTTTATATTAATGTATATACAAGTAATTTATTATATTTTTTATAAACTAATAAAAATATATTTCTTATTTGTTCCAGGCTTATTTTTTTTATTAAAATTTAACTCCTATCTTGTAAAAATATTTTATGACTAAATATAGACTAAAGTAACCCGGCCGAAGCTCAAAATGGGGTCTGGGGGAGAAGCCCCCAGTAATTTTTTAATACCCCCCCCCCTCCTTAGGCAAATTCTGGTTACGCCTATAGGCATATGTATGAATTAATTAACCTTTTTTATCAAATTCTTTAGACGCAATTTTTTTATATCAGCAATCGAAAATATTTTATACTGTAATAAATAAATTTTGTATTAAAAAATAATATTTTTAGAAATGTCATATTGTTTTAATTATTTATATGCTAGTTTATTTTGTATGCATAATTTAAAATATGAAATTCAGAATAATTATTCAGAGTTAGCAAATTTTTAAAAAGTATAATATATTAATATAAAACCCAAAGGCCGGGCAAATGCGGGCCAAAGACCCGCAAATTGGGGGTATGGAAGGCGAAGCCCCCCATAAAAATTTTTTAGTTGAGCCTTCTGAGATTGTAAAGGCTAGCGACGCCCCTGAAATGTAGACAATATTTAAATTAAATTTTTAAGATTACATAAGTCTCATTTAATTACACATAGTATGAACAGAATTAGTGCCTCTCTTGTTTGTCAACAATATTCCGCAATATAAACAATATACGCTTCTTTAATAATGGGACAATCAATTATTTCAAATAATAAATTAAAATGTAATTTATGTTTTACAGTGATGTCTTACTATCGTATAGACTATTTCACCTGATTATGCAAGAAATTTTAGCTGATTACCATCTGTTATCTCCCATTTTCAGAAGATTTGGGCCTTCCACTTGCATTCCATAATTTTGTACATTTTCCCATTACTCCATTTAAATATTTTGTGTAATTATTGGTTTTATTTTATTAATGGCATTAAATGAAGCTGATATACTGGGTTGAATTTTTTATTGTTGTAGAGGTTGTTTTATATTGGGTATAAATGCCTAAATGGAATTTCTAATTTTTTTAAAAAAATAATTATATTATAACTTAAAATTAGCATATAAATAATATACTTTAATACGTTTAAGAAAATTTGTTGAGGAACATATTGATATTGAACACTTTATCATTTTTTTGTGTTTACAGGTTTGACATTCAGTCTATGCATTATCTTTTGACTTGAATTATTTTAAAAAATTTTAATTTTCATAACTTATTTCCATAATTTTTCTTTCACTACCTTTTTCACTACCATGAGTGTTAATCATCCTACAAATTAAAAAATAAAAAATTAATAATAAAATTCTATCGAGTTACATTTAATTTATATATAAAATATATTATTTTTATTTTGTTTTGATGTTGTTAATTTTTATCTATCCATCTTAATGAGCAGCTAATTTTGGTTGTCAAAAAAATAATGTTATAATATGTGATATGCAATGACATATTGGTGATATGTGAATTTTATAAACATGAATATTAAAAAGAATCTGTATCTTATCTTTTGTCAAGAAAATGCAAAAGATACAAGATTCTTTTCAGAATAAAGGATCTAAGATACAGATACTTGTATCTTATTAAAAATGTCGAAAAGATTCTGAGTACAAGATACAAAAGGATATTGCATCTTTAAGTATTCGCGGTACTGCCCAACTCTGATAAAATTTATAATGATATCCTAAATTTAATAAAAGATTTTATTCAAATAAAATTATTTATTTGTTTATAATTATGGGTCTAAAGAAGCATCAATATCATTACCTAAGCACATTCGTTGTCTATGCCATACAATAAGCTTTATTGCCACAACAGATGTCGAGAAAGCTATTAAGGATTCTCCTACCATCTCTAGAATTCATCATCCTGCACTAGCCAAATATATTAAATTATGGAATGCTAGTAGACCTAAAACTGCAGAGTTCATCAAAGCAGTTTAAGAAAAACTATTAGTTATACCATGCTGTATGAGATGGAATATTGATAGCCTTACTAGTATATTAAAATTTATAAGCGAACTTCCAAAATTATGTGAAAAATTAAAATTTTCACAACTAAGAGATATTGAAATGCAATATTTAGAAGAATATTGTCATATAATGTCTAAATTGGCTATAGCGATTAACAAAATACAAAGCGAAATCAACTGCTATTATGGAGAATCAGCTCCAATATTAAATATTGTTAAAAAAAATCACAAATTTAATTCAAACTGATCTACATTTTTCTAACCATTAGCTATTGCAGTAGAAAATTATTTAAATAAATAATTTAAAAATATATAGGAATTTGAATAACTTTAAAAGTGCATTTTTGGCCACTATTTCTCATCCCTACTTTAAAAATCGTTGGATTGATGGTAAAAAAGAGAAAAAAAAACCTTCAGGATTTATTAACATGAAGCCTTAATTATTTTAAAAAATAAAATTGAAATTAATATGTCAATAAAATCTTCAATTGATGATGAAAATGATGATTTTTGTTTTAAAAGTACCACATCCAATTCTATTAATTCGAAAAGTGATATTGAATTAGAGGTCCTACATTATATGAAAGATGACAGGCGCAATATAAATATGTTAAATAGTTATAAATATATAAAAGAATATTTATTAAATTTAACACAATATAACTATCCTCTGCCCCCTTGAAAGAATATTCAGTTTTGCTAATATGGTCAATCCAACAAAGACTGAATGACATATTATTTGAAAAATAATTTATATTAAAAAATAATGCTAATTAATGATGTTGATTTATTGATATTTACTAATTAATTTTTTGTTCTAATATTGTTTTCATTATTACTAGTAGAAAGCCCGTCAAAAATGATGGGGAATGAGATTTTTATTCATTTTTTACGATAGATGTCATGTCAGGTTCAAGCTCACAATATTAGGAAGCATTCAAGATCTTATAATTATAAAATAGTTTATCAAGCCTAGCTCAACCCTTAATAATTTGTAAAAGATATTCCCAAGTCAGGTTCAAAATATTAATTTTGAGGCTCCAAGCCCAGTCCTACCCATTATAATTTTGAAAATTTTTTCCCGCCTCGGAGATAGTTAAATTTTTATAATCATCACATGAACGGGAAATATCTGATTTACCAATTAGTCTAATATGGAAAAAAAACATGTAAATTCCGTATTAAGGGAACCTGGGAAGGCCTGGGCAACCACTTATTAGAGAATCATGACAAATAAAATAAAAATAACCGACTCTTATACTTTTTTGTAATAAGATCAATTAAAATTATATCTAAAAAATATGTTGTTTATTATATAAGGTTATTGTTGTTTTACAGATTAATTTAATGTATGTCTTACATTTCTGAAATTATTTGTCAAAGAATTTGATAAGGGATATATATTTTTTTATGTTAAGTAAAAAATAAATGTTGTCTATTTAAATTACAAAAATGGCATTAAACACTAATGAAACTTATATGAAAATTATTTATATATTTTTTTAAGATATTTTTTTTTATTGACATATAAATTTAGGATAATTTTTTTAAAGAATAATGAGGATTATTTATTATGTATTTGATAAAATTAAGAGCAAATCCTTGTTGACATTTTAATTTTTGATGGAAAAAGTGATAAAATAAATCTGGGCGGTCGTCTAGAGAGGAAATAATTAATATATAATTTTATATCATTTAGGGTTGTAGATGAAAGTAATGACGGATTAACAAAGCAGTGTACAAAACACATTGCGTCCTGATAAAGATGATATGCCTATGCCTTGGGATACTGGTAAAAGAAGAACGCAAAACGATGTTTCTGTCAATGTCAGCATTGGTATCCCCCTCTAAAATAGAATCATGAACGACAATGTTAACTCAACCATAAAACGGTCGTAAGAAATGTTATTAAAGCCACGACAGAACTACTGCATATTTTTCCATTAATAAAGTTGATGAAATTGGCTGTACTGTACATTCAAGTTTGAACAAGCAAAACGATATTTCTGTCAATGTCAGCATTGGTATACCCTTCTAAAATAGAATCATGAACGACAATGTTAACTCAACCATAAAACGGTCGTAAGTATTGTTATAAAGGCCACGACAGAACTACTGCATATTTTTCCATTGATAAAGTTGATGAAATTGGCTGTACTGTACATTCAAGTTTGAACATTCCTCTAAATATTTATGAAAGTTTCTCAGAGAATCGGATAAAGTAATATTTATATTATCTCCTAGTGAAGTGAATGATAGTACAGAATTAAATGTTGATATTTGTTAAAAAATAGGCGGAGGTGGCATAGGGATTGTGGTAGTGGTGATAGAACTATCATTTGGAGAACTTGGTGATAATAAAATAAACATAGATATAAAACATAAGATTAAAAAAAAACAAAATAAACGTCCAGATGAGTTTATTTCAAGTGTAGTTCTTTATTATTTTGTCTACCACTAACTCTAGAACGGGTAAGGCGTTTGTTTAATCCAGGGGCGTCGCTAGCCTTCACACTCTCAGGGGGCTCAACTAAAAAAAATTTAATGAGGGGTTTCGCCTCCCATCGGCCTTCGGCCGGGTTTTATATAAATATATTATACTTTTTTAAAATTTGTTAACTCTGAACAATTATTTTGATTTTAAAATTTTGTCATTTATTATATTACTAGTTGATAACCCGTCAAAAATGATGGGGATGAGAATTTTATTCGTTCTTTTACGATAATTCTTTTTACCCCTCCCCCTCCTCCTTCAGGCCAATTCCAACCCATTAAGACTAAGAGTGATGAATTGTCTTTTTTATTCAATGATTGATGAATAATATATTTTACCTTTATTTTATGATGGATGAATCAGAAATTTTCCTATTTTATGAGATGTGATTTCTAAATAATTATTTTAAATTACAAAAATGAATAAAAATGAAAAAATATCTCATATTAGCATCACACTGATCACCCGTCAAGAATGACGGGGAATCATAATTTGAGATGTGATTTAGAAATTTATATTTAAAATTATAAAAATGAAACAATATCTCTTATTAGCACCCTAAATACTAACATTATTTACCAGAGCTCCTGTTAGTCAGAACTGTTCACTCCCCACCGCGTGAAGGTAGGAGATGGATTTTAGGGGAGCAATATTTTGGATCTTGGCCAGTTTTTCTACCTATATTTTGATAATAAGATCTTTTGAATTTTTTTCCTAAATCTTCTAGAGCAAGCGCGAATCATATCAGATTTATCTTATAATAATAAAGTGTTATAGAATAGCTATTAAATGCCTTTTTATTTAAATAACCAATCTTAAAAACATATAACTGTATATTTATAAAGCTGGGGGTCTAAAAGGGGTAAGTATTATACTGGTCATTAGTGTCCAAGAATTTATAAGTCATGAGCATGGATTTTTCTTTATATCTTACTATTTAGATTTTAAATTTTTATAAAATTTTAACTATATAGGTGAATAACAATTAAAAATACAAATTCTCTTGAGGTAACTTTATTTCCTAAATTATTTTTTCATTTATTTTATAAGTCTATTTAAATTTTCCCCACCAATAAAGGATCTGTAATAATTAATTTTTCCTATTAAGCACCATCAAACCTATCATTGACCCTTAATAAATATAAAAATTTGAGTCTCAAGTATATATTTTTCATTTTATCTGACTTTCGATTTTTATGAGTAATTTATACCCTAATTTTGCATAACATATTAATTTACTATGTTATTTATATATTTTTAAATTATCTATATTATTTTATATAGATAAGCAATATACCTAGGAATCCAATCTTATTTTCTATTTATTTTAGGATAAGTCCATTTCAATTAAATCTAACAGAGACAGAGAAAGGATCAAATTTAAAAATATAAAATTTACATCTATACAAACAAAATGATTAT